CACCATGCACGTGTGCTGGTACCGCAACACCAGCGTCTCCATGACTGACCACAGTGTGGCTGTTGAGGTACCCGCTGGGACTGACGCCTCATCTCTTCCTCACTGTCTGCCTGTTTCACTTGGCTCCTTGGGAGCCCGCCAGTCCCCGTGCTCTGGGGCTGTCCATTTCTCATTTTCTCATCTCATTTGTGTGGTCAGGAGGGGAGAGAGGCAGTTCTGGTGTGGCAAGGCGCCAGGCAGCCAGAGAGCAGGGGGCCGCCATCTTTGATTCCCCCCAGAGCCTTGCCCGGAGGGAATGCTGGAGGGGTATGGACCAGATGGATGAGTGCGCGCTTAGGGGCACACGTGTGTATGTGTGCCCACGCACCTATGCACAAAAAATGGGATGGGAGCGGCTGTGCCTTGCTGTAGGCCAGAGGATGGTGGGGAGATGGAGCTGTCTTGGCTCCTCGCCATGGCCAGCACTGCCACTAACCCGGACAGACACGATCGCTTGAGGGCCCTGAGCGGCTGCTGCCTTGCAGAGCCCACTGCCTCAATAACTTCTGGCCCAGAGCTTCTCTGCCCTCTTCCCCTGTGCCATGCACTGCACTTAGAATCACGCAAAGGGCCTTGAAGGCCACCTCACCTGGCCCCTTCATTTAACAGGGGAGGAAATGGAGGCCCAGACTCCTTGCCCACTCCTGCCGGCATGGCCATTTGCGATGGCAGATCACTCATTTGTTCTGTGATGTGAGCAAACAGAGGAGCTCCTCCCATTAGAGATTTTGGGTGAGGCCCATTGAGCTGGGCCACGGAGGGTCCCCGTGTGGCCCTGCCCGCCAAGGGAGGGTGGCTACTGCAGGGCATTGCCTTAAGCCTCCATCTCCTTGCGTCCTCTGGGAGCCCTTGAAGGGAACTGAGGATGGACACACATGGACAGGGGCTGATTATAATTTATTTCTTGAGCCCTCTGGCTAAGCAGCCTCATTAGTGAGGAGAGCTCCCAAATGAGAGGTTGGGGCTAAATTCAATTGCTTTTCCCCTCTGAAATTCTGTGAAATTGTAGGAAAAGAAGAGAGAATCATTTTGTGCATACATCCTTATGCCCCAATTAGCATGGAGCTTTTAGAATCGTCCCTGTCTTCAAGGCCTCTGTTGTGCTGATGGGGGCTCCCCATTTCCTACAAGGGGCTGTCTCCCCCAGACCTTATTTGGTCAGTAACTCGGCTCCTAAGCGACGAGATCAGTCAGGAAGCCCACCACCAGGTCCTTGGGGATCAGACAGACCTTCCTTAAGGTCTCAGGTGCTTTGGGGATGCTTGGGGAGAATACCCCAGAGTAGGAAGGCAGCTGGTGCCCAGGCCAGGCCGAGCCGGCCCCCAGGTCCCCTCGAGCCTCGGGCCTTTGCTCTCTCTCTCTGGTTTCTCTCTTTGTAACACGTTGGTGTCACGCGCTGTTGCTTCCGTTTGTGCCGCTCACCAGGGGCTTGCACGCCATCGGGCTATCCTCAACCGTCCTCTCTCGTCTGTCCCCCCGCTCAGTTCTCTGCTCTCTTGCTGTTTCTCCAGAGCTCCCTCCTCGCTCTTTGCTGGGCCGGGGCCCCAAGGCCAATACAATCACCCATGTGTGCTGGTACCGGAATCACAGCCTCTCCCTCCCAGATTACCTGTGCATGATTCAGGTAAAAACTCCGGTGACTCCGTAGAGATAGATTTCTGCCTCTCTCCCGGGCACCTCACACACTCACGTTGGTGCTTTCAAGTTTGAAGTCTCGTGAGCCCCTGATGGCTGTGGACAGGATGGGCAGGGTTCCCTCCCCTAGCCCAGCCTGGCTGGGGCGGCCACGTGACCAGCGGGATCCTCAGGCTCTGAGTGGTGATGGAAGCCTCATCCTTGCCTGGTCACCGGCTTCTGACGGCATTTTTGGTTAGGTGGGTGGGGTGGGCTGGCTTGGCTTCGCCCTCTGAGAACCTTCCACACTTTCCTCTGGTGTCTGTCTTCTTGTGTCTTGTCTCCTTGTGGCCTTCTTTCTTGTCTCCATGGTGGGTATTCACGAATCTGACAAGATGGCCCGCAGGGGGCTGGTTGCCATCCTGGGGCACATGCAGGTCCAGTCCCTTTCCCCTGGCCCTTTCTGTGTCACTGATGAGAGTGCAGACCCTGACAGATTAGACTGCCCTTCTTACAGTCACCCAGCTAGGAAGTGGTGGATTCCAGATTGGAATTCAGAGCTTGTGAGCCCCGTCTGCTGTCCTTTGTGCTGAGCTCCCACATGTGCGCACTCGTGCCTGGGGTCCTCAGCATCTATGATGATGCTGAGATGAGGAGAAAAGCCCCGAGGCAGAGGCTCGGGGTGCCCATGTGCCCGGGGGAGGAGGGGCAGGGCCGGGCTACCTGCCACCGCCTTCACTCAGTGCTTGTGCCCTCCCAGAACCAGCTATCAGGATACCTGCTGAGGAAGTTCAAGAACAGCAGTGGCTGGCAGAAGCTCTGGGTGGTCTTCACGAATTTCTGCCTGTTTTTCTACAAAACTCACCAGGTACCAAGAGCATGCTCAGGCTGTCCCTGGGGGTGGGGGGAGGGCAAGTGCGCGTAGCTCGCCAGAGGCTCGATGGTGCTGTGGATGGCAGGGAGGCTTGTGACAGAGGACAGGGGTGGGGGAGGTGGTCAGGCAGCGAGCTGAACAAGCCCAGCCGGGCCCTCCCAGGCCCCACACGTGCAGCAGGGCACCCAGGGCAAGGACAGGGCTGGCCGGGCGGGCTTTAACACGTCCTTGTGGCTGTTTTCCAGGACGATTACCCGCTGGCCAGTCTTCCCCTGCTGGGCTACATGGTCAGCATCCCCGGACAGGCCGATGGCTTTCACAAGGATTTTGTCTTCAAGCTTCAGTTCAAATCTCACGTCTACTTCTTCAGGGCTGAGAGCAAATACACATTTGAGAGGTAACTGGGGCCCCAGGGTCTCCATTTCATCTCCTGTCCAGGGGAGTGTAGCTAGGGAGCATTGGAGGGATGGCCCCCTACAGATGTCGATGCCGTGTCCTCGGGGGGCAGTGTCTGTGCGAGGGCTTCGGCTCGGGGCCAGCACACATTTTAAAGATGGACTTCCTGGTACTGGACACTGTTGAGAGTTTGGAAAGGAACAGTTGTTGGCTCTGCTTGTTTTTCTCTGACTCCCCGTCTTCCTGGGGCCTTGAGGAGACACTGTCCAGTCACGAGGACTCTCACCGTCTCTCTCCCAGGTGGATGGAAGTGATCCAGAGAGCCACCAATTCTCCTGGGAGAAGCAGCCTGGTGATGGCCAGTGATGACAAAGATGCCCACAGCAACTGACGGGAGGCGCCCGAGGTCCCATGTGGAGGCTGGAGCTGGACATTATTAATAAAGGGAAAAGGGAAAGGGCTGGGTGCTAGAAGAGGAGTCATGGGAGAGGGGACTGGGACCAGAGCCGGGGCCTGGGGAAGGGAGGAGCCAGGCTCAGCTGAGTGAAGGGACTTGTCCAAGGTCACCTGGACAGCATCTCAAACCTAGACTCTGATTCCACTTCCCCTCGTTGTAGGGCATGTGATTCTGGGTTTGCAGGGCCAAGGTATTTTCCCCAGACTTCCTCTATCCTCGTGGGAAGTCTGGGTCACACAGGGACTGGAAAGCAATGCTCAGGGTATTTGGAAAGTCAAGCATGGAGGCCCTGGCCCCCGAAGTCCCTTGCGCCTTTTTGCTGTTCCCTGAGCACGACAGGCCTGGGCACCTCGGGCAGATGTGCCAGGGACAGCATCCCTTTCCATCTTCGCACGGGCTAGAAGAGCCCCCAAGAGAGCGCTTGGTAGGGTTGGTGGAGCTTTACTGTATGTCGATGTGGGTAAAGGATGTTGGATGGACCAGGCTTGGCCCGGTAGCCGCTTTTGAAGGCGTCCTCGATTTCAGTTTCCTTGTCTGTGAAATGGGGTGAATCGTACCTGCCACCTCCCTCCGAGGTTTGGGGTGAGGATTAAGGAAACGACAGTGTTGCACATTTTTGGACAGGTGTTAGCTCGATACGGGTCTGGCCAAAAATTACACATCACCCGCCCTCCCCGGGGCCAAGTGTGTACCCGTGGGGATGTCATTTCGTTCATGCTCGGGCAAGGGCACCTGGGAGCCCTCTGGTAGAGCCTGAATGGCCTGAAGTAGCTTCAAAGGCAAGGCCCCACCCCCAGGTGGAGGGGGCAAGCCTAATCCCGGGGCTGCAGCATCGTGGAGGAGGTCCGTGAGAGGGGCAGGATGGGGTGGGGGTCAGCACTTGAGGGGCCCAGCTCATAGACACTCTCGGAATTCCTCCTCCATTGGGACACCTTTCCCTCCCGCTTATGGGAAGCCAAATGTCAGAAGCTTCATGTTTTGTTACCGCCGAGTCCTAACAACGGAACATCTGTTACAAGTAAAATATTTTTTGATTTGTTGGTGAGTGCCCTAACGTTTTTCATAAATTGGATTGAGATGTACAGCTGTGTATTTGCTAGACAGACTTTGCTACTGCGTGTAAATAGTTAGAAATAAACAAACACCATCTCACCGCAAACACAGCTTGTCGTCATTTTTCAGGTTTGGGACACTGCCCACTACTGTCATGGATGAAGTACTTTGAAAGGTCATTTTCTAAGGTGGGATGGTCAAAAGGGACCTGCCCACTGTTGACTTTGTCCAAGGCTCTTTTCTAATCCTTGGCTGTGGATAAGAACCCATCACTTGCACGCCCAGTAGCCCACTTTAAGAAGCAGGTTCAGGTTGGATGGCCAGTGGGGGGAAAATGGTGACCCCCTATGGGCCACTGTGACTAATGACCTAACTTCACCGAGCTCTGCCCCTGGCACCTAGTGCCTTTGTGCATCCACAGGGCTGCAGAGGCAGGCAGCTGGGGGGAAGGGTCCTGCCTCAGTTATTGGCCCTCACCTGCCAGAAATCCTCCAAGCTCTGTGGTGACTGAAGCCGGGGGTCCCTTCCCTAGCAGATCTCGATGAGGAGAAACAGCAGACACCACCACATGGTCTCAGGTCATCTTTATTGAAAGTGGCCGGTCCCTTTCAATGCTCTTTGAAAACCAACATCTTTGAATACTGAAGGAAACAAGTGAGGGTTCTTATTCTTTAAAAAAGCAAACCACCACCACCAAAACCCCCACGTTTGGAGTGATTCTGGCGTGCATGGGAGGAACACGAGGGGCCTGATTAAATACCACAAAGGTGTCAACTACCATCACAAACAAGACAAAGTCTGAGGGCTGGGCTGGGCAGGGGTGGGGGGCACACGGGGTTCCTGCCCCTCTTACCAGGAACCGTGTATCTGGCATCCTGGCAGAGGGAGGGCACAGGGCAGTGCCAGGCTCCGGACAAAGGTTCCAGCTCTTCCCAGAACATCACTGAGCAGAGACCAGTCGCTTAATTCAGCTTGTACCTGGCGAGCCGGGCAGACAGCACCTAGTCAGCCAGCCCTGACCGCCCCCCCACTACCCTGTAGGTGCCCAGCCCCTCCCCCCACGGGCAGGCACCGTCCCAGCCTTTCACGAGCTTTGCTTAGAACGGGAATAATAACGACAATGACAAAAACGACAACAGCTCTCCACCAAGTGACACGTCCAGAGGCAGCTGTGGAGCCCGGCCTGGCAGCGCCTGCAACGGGGGCCCCGGATGCAGAACCCGAGGGGTCTGAGGTCAGTTCTTAGAAAGACGGGGAAAGGCCCATCGCTGGCCTCCCTCCCGGCGCCTGTCAGCGAGCTGACGTCAGGTGGTTCCTGCTGTGGGAGAACCTATGGGGAGAAAGCCGCCCTTTGGCAACGTGCACGGTCTCAGCTCTGTGGATCCTGCCCACGACTGCTCAGGCTGGAGCCGGCGAGAAACAACAGCTCTGAGGCAGAAGCTGCAGACCCCCGACCGGTGGCCAACCCCAAGGGGCACAGTGACAGACGCCAGGCCTGCCATCACTGCTGCTCCAGAGTGACTCACCTCTGGACCCGTTCCACCAGATGTGCTATCAGTCTGTCGGAAATGCCAGGGCAAGACTCCTCAGCAAGGCTGAAGGCATTCTCCAGCTCCTCCATGGCCCCCACGTTGCCTCCGGTCTGCTTGTGCTTCTCTTTGAGCTGCACAAAGTCAGTCAATTAGCGTGCCAGGCAGACTGCCAGGGCTTGGGGAAGGGTCCATCGTGCAAGACCCTGGGCTACTGGGGGAACGAGACCCGCTGCTCCCGAGTCTGCCTGCGCATGACCTCCCTGGCACTGCCTGGATTAAAGGAGGCAGCACAAGCCGGCCAGGTCAACTCGCCCCCACCACCGTGACCACCCTCCTCCACACAGGGACTCGCCCATCACCTGTGAATCCCTAGTGCCTCCGGGAGGCGCACGTGGCCAGCTGGCCCCACTAGCCCCCACCGGCCTCTTCAGCCGCTTTACAATGACAGACACAACCTTCTCCTCCCCTTCTTGGCACCTCTTGGCCCAGGTGAACCATCCCCCAGGCGTAGGCAGGTCACTTAACCCGTCAGTGCCAGGCAGCGTTCGAGGCTGATGAAGGCCCTGCCCACGCTGGCAGACAAAGTTCATCCTCCCAATGAAACCATAGGTCTTGGCCCAAAACAAGTACCTCCAACACAGTGTGAGCTCCCACAGGGCAAGGACTTTTCATTTTGTGCCTTTGCAGCCAGCACACAGTAGGTGCCTAATGAAAACATTTGCCCCCAACAGCCTGTATGTAGAACATGAAGTCTGGCCAACCTCAACTTGGCACCTGACTGAGTGATCACCAAGGAGAAACTGCAGCCCCAGGTTTCCTCCACGGTCAAATCACCCACATCAGTAGGAAAGGGAGCTGCCAGCAAAGCCTGTCCCAGGAGCACCGGTGCCATGAGACCAGGCACCTGGGCTTTCAAGGCCTGGAAAGTCCAAAGTTCTGAATCTCAGAGACCCAGGAGGGACAAGTCTGTGTGGAGGCCAATGGGCGGGGCCGCTCACACGCCCAAAACAGCAGCCAGAGGCAGAGCTTGGCCTTGCCCTGAAGCCCCACGTCAGGAATTAAAGCTGAGGGAGGAGGAGTAAACACAGAAGACACTGACCAAGGCAAAAAATGGTGGCAGATCCAGAGATTCCCAAAGGATAATCCCTTAACAACTGAAAGCAGAGAACCAAAGGGGAAAATGGACTTTCCACAAGGATTACATTCATTCCTAGAAGAAATGAAATGAGATTAAAAGCTCTGACAGAAAGAAACCAAATAGCTTAGAAGAGAAAGTGATGAATCTTACCCAAAAGAATAGACTCTTTTAAAACCAGAGCAATCCATGATTCCATGACATAGCAAGGAACATTCAGATCAAAAGAATGAAAAAAAAAAAATAGAAAAAATGTCAAGTATCTGCTATCAAAAATTCCTAACCTGGAAAACCAGTGATGGGGAGACAATTTAAGAATCATTAGAGCCTCCCTCAATACTATGATTAAAAAAAGGAAAAAGACTGGACAGTATTTCAAGTCATCACTAACGAAAACTGCCCAGACCTATGAGCACCAGGGGGCAAACTGAAAAGAGAAAGAATCCACTGAGCATCACCAGTTGAAAGAAACCCCCAAGGACAAGTCCCAGGACTCTAACAGTCCCAATCGAGAGCTCTCATGTTAAACAAAACAAAAACTAAATCATGTGGTGGGCATCCAGAAAGAAGCCACCAAAGTCTAAGAAACCACAGGATCACACAAGACCTGGCAGCTTCAACCCATGAGTGGAGAAGATCTTGGAATACAACATACCCAGGCAGATGACACAGGCGCACAACAAAGAACTCACCCTTAAAGGCTAAGTGAAAAAGCTTACCGTTAATGGAATAGAGGCCCTGCAAGGGTGTGTGATGACCTCCCACAGCCGAGTAGGAAGGCTGACACGGGAAGGTAAACGTACTTAAGCAATCAGAATAATTACAGGACAGGATGATGATGTAGTGCTAATATTCTGTTGGGGGAGATGGATTCCTTCAGAACCTAATGTCTTCAAAGGATAATAAGGGGGCTGAATGAGAAAAACAGGGCCCGTGTGGGGGTGGAGTTGGTTCTGATCAGAGGGTTTTAAGAAGAGAAAAAGAAGGGAGGGTCAAAGTAATGTGCAAGTGAAGAACAGAGAAAGGAGGCAGAAGTGGCCCTTTCTGTTAGCTGGAACGGGCGGGTGGGGGAAGGGGCGGGCATCCGTGAGCCCACACTTATCTGAAACGGAAGACAGAGGACACACACAGTTTGGGGGGGCCGGGAAGCAGCCACCTTCACAGAGAAGCAAGTGGAGAGTGGGCTGGGGACCACGAAAGGCACAAACTTCAGCAGAAAGAGAACTAGAACTTGGGGTCTACAAATGGATGGAAAATGACCACACTTCAAGAAATGACAAGAGTTGACCCAGAAATCCTGTGATGCCGATGGTCAGAAGAGCCTGAGGACGGTGATCAGCAAGGACAGCAGCATGCTAGGGCTCAAGAACTCTACTCAAACCCCACCCCACGAGGAGCCTTCCCCTCCTCCTGGTGGGGCGGTGATGGGCGCACAGAAAGGGGAGAGACACTTCTGGGTGTGCATCCCCGTGAGCTGGGTCTTGCTTGACAATCCTTGTTTATGACAAGGGATTTTCCTTCTTCTTGGTTTTCATTTAGGCAAGGAGCTAGGGAGAGAGTGGGAGGTCAGCAACAGTAATTTGGGGGGAAAGAGCCACTGAAAAATTGTTAAGGAAAAAATGCATAAAAGAGAAAAGAAGTTCATTCGAAAGGAAGCACAGCAAGGATAGCTTGGAAAGTAGCATGTGGAACAGATAGCCCTTTTCCTTACAGTTACTGTACGAAGTGCGCTCCTGGGTCTGCTCACTTCACAGCAAGTCTTCCCAGGTTTCTCTGAAATTGTCCCTTCCACCGTTTCTCATGGTACAGTGACATTCTGTCACGTTGGTACACTGTAATGTGCCTGCTTCCCCACAACTGCCCCCCGCCCTCTTATCATTTTTCCCTCTTTGTCAGCTTCACCAATGTGCTGAGCGTGAGCTTCACCCCAGAGTTGCTCTAATTAACTAGGCGCATTTTTTCACGTGGCTATTGATCTCCCTCACCGGCCACATTTGAGAACAAAAGAGGATTCGTGCTGCACTGAGCCCTTCATCCCTTTAAGGTCTGCCTCTGCACGAGTCCCCTGGAATCAGCGGCGGTCATCCCAGGTCCTAACTTTTTGCAAGTTGTCTCTGCAATACTGTTGTCCTTGTACAAATGGTTCACTTCGCTATATCAGTTTAGACAAATCTTCCCAGGTTTCTCTGAAACTACCCTCTTCATCATCCAACACAAAAGTATTCCATCACATTCATACTCTTATTAACACAGCCGTTCCTCGATGGAGGAACAACACTCCCTCGGTCTTCAATTCTTTGCCACCACGAGAGAGCTAATGCATATTTCTATGTATCCTGGAGCTTGCCTGAGGACTGATCCTTCCCTTCAATACTCGGCCTGGCGCATTTTCCAGATTCTTTTCTTTTTTGGGGGGAGGGAGGAGGGAAAGCTTGCTGTACTTTTTCCTGCTGCTGCACAATCGGCCACTCTTCTGGGCATGTGTGCAGACATCTATTTTTGTCTTACAGCTAGACCACTTCAGGTGAGTTGAAGGGGTTCTTTTTCAGCCCCTGATCAGCCATTTGGTTGGAACAGGCCTGGTTCCTCCTCCCCCTCCACCTGCTTCTCCTTGCTGCTCTCACACCAACCTCCCTCCCCTCCGCATGGGTGACCACTGGTGATGGGGCAACGCCTGCACACACAATCCCCATGGCGACATAGATGGTGGCCTTGCAAAGCTGGCGGGGGAACATCACCTCCTCCTGCCTGCAGTCAAGGCCAGCTTTCCCAAGCTCCTGTCATTTCATTCCCTCTTCTCCTAAGGAGGTAAAAGACATCAGCAGGAACGTTCTGCAGGTTTCAGTGGCGTGCTCTGGGTCTTGGGGCAGCCCATCACACTCCTGCCTCGCTTATTCAGAGCCTGCCAATGGCCACCGTGGCTCTGGTGAGCCATCTCCCAGCTGGTCGTAGCCACGACGCTGCCTCTGCACCCAAGCATGGGAGCTGTCTTGCATCAGGCGCCCCCAGGGCCTGCTCTCAGAGGGCAGCCCTGGGCCCCAGGGTGAGGCTGAGGCTTGGAAGCCAAGGACAGCAGCCTGCCCCCACCCTACTCTGCCACAGGGTAAGCAGGAGCAGAAATGCTCAGGTCAAAGGCAGGGCTCTCTTTTTCCTCCCAACCACGCCCGTCCCAGGAAGAGCGCAGGACAAGGGGCTCCCCACCCAACAGGGCTCACCTCTCCGAAGACGGGCCGGACGAGGGTGGCAAGGCACTGGGACCGTGGCTGACGTTTGATGGGTTCTGCAGACTGCAAAGGAAGCACACAGTGAGCCAGGGGGCAGCCGCCTGCCTGCCTCGGGGTGGGGAGTTAGGGGTGTAACACCCCCCGTAACTCCTCACACAGCCTGTGCTATGACTGTTCTGGAGGCCCCGTTCTCCTCCCAGGGTCCAGCTCCGTGCCAGGAACCAGGCAGCTCGAGTGAGGGGCAGGAAGGAGGAGAAGAAGGGGACCCGGGGGACAGGTGAGGGAAGCCCAAGGCGGGAACACCAGCGGCGGGCCGAGGAATGGCTTGCGCGAGTACACGGTAGCAGGAGGCGGCAGCGTCAAATTCAGCAAAGGAAAGAAGAAATACGGAGAAGAGAACTGAAGGGCCCCAGGAGCACCCTGGCCACGGCGGGGAGGGGGCCCCAGAGCGCAGAGGCACGCCCCCGACAGGCGACCCTGGAGGCCACAGGGGCTGGTGCTGCTCTCCCCCTCCTCCGCCTACGGACAGACTAGCCACGTCATCTGTACTAGCAGCTTCCCTTTGGCACCGCTCATTCTGGACGCTAGAGATGAACCGTCCTGACCAAACCCTGACTTCCTGGGCACATCAGCTCTGGGCTCCAACAGGAGCACGGACAAGATGGCGACCAACAGTGGCAGGAGAAGCAGCTCGGTGCCACCGTGAGTAGAACCGAGGCTGCAGTAATGGTGCCGGGCACCCTGTGATCTCACTAGATCCTCACAACCACTCCTTTCACTGTTGAGAAAACTAAGGCGGACAAAGGTGAAGTGACTTGCCCGGGGTAATCTGTCTCTTAAGTGTCTAGGGCTGGATTTGAACTCGGGTCTTTCTGACTCCAGGCCCAGGGTTCTATGCACCGCACTACTCATGTGCTCCAAAGGTGAGTTTCAGCTGGCTTGGAGGAAGGTGTGGCTGGCACGGTCCCTCATTTTGGGAGGGTGGCTAATAAACTGGCTGCTAGAGCGAGGATCCTCTAGTGTAAGGAAATGAGATTCAGGAGAGGGGACTGTGGAAGGCAAGATGGGACAGCTGAAATCGCATAACTGTAAGACAAAAATAAATGTCTACACACACACCCAGAAGAATGGCAGATTGTGGAGATGTCTGAAAGAGCCTGTGGGCTCTGGGTGGGCTGTGACGGGATGTGGCAGCCGACGACAGAGAGGCCACCTTGGGCCTGGAAAGCGCTGCTCGAGCATGGGAAGGCTGAGAGGGAGGGGAAGGGGCTGCGGCCTAGGAACAGTGTGAACATGAGCCTTTGTGGTGCGCATGAAGGCAGTCCAGTCTGGCTGGTGTGGCTCAGTGTTGAGAGCTAAGGAAGGGCATAGGAACCCACAGCACGGCAGGGCAGTGCTGGCCCCAGGGGACGCAGCCTTGACCTAAAGGACCACCTTCCGTGCCCTCCTCCACCCTGTCTCAGCCCCGTCTCAGAGAAAGCCTGACCTTCTGTGAGGCCTGCAGGGCCATGCCTTTGTGCAGTTTGCTGTGCGGGCTTGGGCGAATGGTTGGGGGGAAAGTCCAGATGGGGCCTTGGTCACCATCCTCCGCATCTCCGTCACTAGGAAAAAAGACAATGTTCCAGTTATAGCAGGTCCGGGGGAGATGTGATGGGGGGACCCTCCCACTTGAGAGCCAGGGACCGACCCCCCCGGAAGAGCAAGGAGAAGTGGCAGCTCCTCATAAGCTGCTGCTCTTTTCTTCAGCCAGGGTTCAAGTCTCCCATCGTCCAAGGAGGGCAGACAACGCCTTCACGAGGAGGTCCAGGGATAGGGCTAGAGAGAGAGAGGGCCCCCCGCTCCGCACCCCGCCCCCCTCAGGAGGGGCCCTCGGCGTACATGTCTGAATCCTCGGAGCTGGAATCCTCCCCCCGGCCCTCCGACTTCCAGCGCTTGTATCGGTCAATCAGCTCCGTGAGGAAGGACGTCTTCTTGGTGTAGCGCGTGATGAACTTGTGCTTCAGAAGCTCCCGGGCCGCGGGCCTCTGGACGGGCACAAGGGCTCAGATGGGGGACCAGCCCCACCCGCACGGGGGGGCCCCTGCACACGGCCGCCACAAAAACCCCGAACAGGGCGGCCCATGGGGCGGAGGGAGGCGCATACTCACGAAGCGAGGGTCCTTGTTGAGGCAAGCTTCCACAAACTCTTTGAAGGGCTTGCTGTGGTGCCCCTCCAGGGTGGGGGGGCTGTTTTTGGGGATCAGGAACAGAACTCTCATGGGATGAAGGTCGGAGTTGGGAGGCTCTCCTTTGGCCAGCTCGATGGCCGTAATTCCCAGGGACCAAATATCTGCCTGAAACGAGAATCCCCACAGGACCATGGAGGCCAGGCAGACGGCTTGTGGGTCTGGGGGGCAGAGAACAAGGCCGTGGTAGAGGATGCGGGGCACAACCTCTGGCCCGCCCCTCCCACTCACTTTAAAGTCATATGCAGACTGCTTGATCACTTCCGGCGCCATCCAGAAAGGGGTCCCCACAAAGGTGTTCCTCTTGATCTGGGTGTCTGTGAGCTGTCCGGCCACACCAAAATCGGCCAGCTTCACGTCGCCTTGCTCAGAGAGAAGCACGTTGGCAGCTGTGTAAAGACACGGCAGAGCTGGGGAGCGGGGCGCTTTTTTCAGCCAAGCAACTTAATAAAAGGGTCCCTTCTTTCAGAGAACTGGGGCCCGAAGCAGATGGCTGCTCGGACTGCTTGGGTTAGACCATCCCCGCCCAGAGCTCTGCTCGGCAGCAGAGGGGACTCCAGGGAGCTGGCGTCCCAAGGCTGGGAAGGCCAGGATCCGTCCTTGGCAAGCTCAGACTAACCCCAAAGTCTCTTCCTGCAAGGCGCTCTGCAGCCCAGTAACCTCAGACCCCTGAGGCTTCTTAGCCTCAGTGATTCTGGATTTCCCTTTCTGTGGACCAGTGGGGAGACTGCCTCTCCAGGACTCGGAGTTCTGCCTGCTGTAAAGACCCCCACCCACCACAAAGCCTGCGGCCAGGAGCAGTCAGCGCACAAGAATGCTTCACTGGCCTTAGCAGTCAGTTCCCTTCTCACAAAATGGCCTTTTCTACTGAAAGGAGGACATCCAGGTCCTCGTCATTGTCCCACCCTTGGGAGAGCTGTTCAGCATAGCCCGCTTCCCCAAATTCAATCACTGTGTGCCACTTCAGACTAAGGACAAAAATGGTCCTTTTCAGACAAGATCTCATTCATCTTCCTGATGTCTGTCAGGGGGCAGGGGTCACTTCCCCTCTTTACAAATGAGAAAAACAGCACAGCAGGTCGGAGTGAGTGGCCTGAGGTCACTTAGGATGTTAGCGGCAGAGTCAGAGAAAGCCCAGGCCTCCTGGAGCCAAAGCAGTAGCAAAGCACGAGGAGGCGGGGAGGCCTCCACTGGCACCTTGTCTACGAGGGGTTTCTACAAAGGGCGTCCACGAGGGCCGAGGCCGCCCCGACTCAGACCCTTGACGTGAATGAAAAGAAAGCAAAAATGACTGGGGGAACTTCCCAGACCAGGACAACTGCTGGTATTCCTTTCTAGATCTATGTAGCCATGAGGTTTTCCAAAGAGTTATTTAGCAACAAAAAACACACTGCGTACCCGAAGGCCTGCAAAACCCTCTCACTATGAACGTAACGTTGACTGAGATTTAGCAACTTCCAAAAGGGCCCTCACTTCGCTGCCTTTCTCTCTGAGGTCAGACCCTGTCCGGGCCCCTCCCTCCTCGATGCCCTCTCTGCCAGGGTCTGCCCACAAGTACAGTCAGGGCTCGGGAGCCCTGCTGCTGGGGCTCCGGGCAGTTGGGGCCGGACTCGAGACCCTGCAGGATGCACTGGGCTTCTCTCTCAGAAAGAAGCGCACAATACCCTCTTCCCCAAGGGAAACCTTTGATGTCCCGGTGGATCTTCCTTTCAGAATGGAGGTAATCCAAACCCTTGAGGATCTCCCGCAGGATCGTGGCGATGTAGGTCTCCTCCAAAGGCCCAGGCTTTAGCTGGAGGACAGAGAAAACAGCAGCCCACAATGCATCCTGTGCCCCAGACCCCCAGCCTGCCTCAGAGCTCCCAGGGCTGCTAGTGAGACAGCAGCAGGACGCCCCTCCCCTTCTCCCGTGTCCTCCTCCTGTCCCCTCTGACAGCAGACAGCTTTCCCAGTGAGGAAAGGCCCCAGTCCACTCAGCCTCAGTCGGGTTTTGAGCCCCTACAGGCAAGCAAACAGGGTTCCATTTACATGACACACTCCTGACTCCCCCAAACTGCGAGGCCCCACCCTCAACTGCCTCCCACGTCCTCTGTGGACACCTGCTCTGTAAACACCTCCCTCCCCTCCCCTTGGGTCGTCTACTGACTACTGTCTCTGTGCCACTGGCATACAGTAGGTGCTTGGCGCTTGTTAAGCATGAAGGATAAAGGCAAGAGAAACTGAAGGTGGAAAAACAAAAAAACGTGGAAAAGAAGAGAGTGAACACAGCATAGTCGGAAGGACACAGAGGAGGCTGTGGCGGCCCAGTTACAGCCTCCCTGGATTTTGTGCCTGTTAAGGCAACATCTCGTGAAAGAATTATGGCATAGGCAGATTTGTTCATGTTCATAGTCTCAGACACTATACGACCATGAGACAAATTAAAATGAGGTTTCAAGGACCCCAACAAAAGAATATTCCCCATAAAAAAAAAGACTTTAATAAATCTTTATTTTAAAAATGGAAAATGTGTAAAAGCAAGGAATTTGGGCGCCCCTTTGAAGGCCTGGGCCTTGCTTTCCATCCTCAGTTACGGGCCCAGGCCCAACACCTGCATGGCACAGCCAGGGCGGCTGATAACAGGGCTGCTCTGAAAGGGCCATGCTGACCTTCACCTTAGCGGAAGCCTCGCGGCCTTGCCCCAGCCACTTTGATGGGTGAAGGGGGGGGGGCAGGGAGAGTTTTCCCCACTTGATTCAAAGCCCAGGGCCTTAGAAGGTATGAAGGTCCCATGTTAAAAGACAGGTGGTCCCAGTTTAACTTCAAAAGGGCACAAACTGGTCAGGCCACACACAGAACACAATGGGCCGATGACGCTGTCCAACAGTTCAAGGTGAAAGGGCGTGTCTGGTGCCTTCTTCCCGTGGCCCTGGGCCCTCAGCGGCCTGCTCCACCAGTAAAATCTCTCTTTTGTGCCCAACCCACATTATACATGTTCATAATGAGCTCAATTTCTTACCAGATCCAAGGCCGATCCACCACCCAAGTATTCCATAATAATCCATAGCTTGGTGCTCTGCAAATCATTGGGGGAAAATATTTATAAGGAATGGGAAAGGGAGTGGCATGGTTCACCAATGTGTCTGAAAGCCCCCAGGGTCTCCCCCAGCAATCTGGCCTCCAAATAAAAAGGACACTTGCTGGCTCCCACGACCAGGAAGAGGGTCCCGCCCAACACCATCCCCTCTCCAGCCTTTTAGAACTCGTTCCTCACTAACATCACTTCTCTGCTATGTCACACCAGGTATAATCTCTTAAACTGAACAAATAATAGTCATTCCGACTCTTAAGCACTCATAAAGAAAAAACGGTGGAGGTGATGCGGACCACCACAAAGCCCAAAATCTACCAAGCTAAGAAGTCCTAGACCCAAGTAACATTTGGCAACTCAGACCGTCTTGGAAAATGCCCAGGTCTGGCTTACACTGGAGTGCGGGTGTGCTACGCAACAAAGAAAGGGAGAGGAGACTCTTGGCCCCAGAGCCACCCACCCAACTGGGGTGTCAGAAGGCACAACGTGGGCCTTTCTCAAGGTGCAGGAAGACAGGACAGACGCTGATGAGACCTAGATCCAACCGGAGTGATGGGGACACTGAGGGAGTCACTGGTCAGCTGTATGGGACACACTGTACACCCCCCTGGTCACTCTAAGAAAAGAAATACGTCCACGACTGGGCCAAGCCCTTCCCCTCTGGGCCCGTGCCATCTCAGCGCCAAAACAGGGGGAGAAGGGAGAGTTGGACACGTGATCTCCAAATGCCCTTCCTGTCCACAATGGATGACCCTGTGATCTCCGGAGCCTCCTCACTCAGTCGTGCTTTCACTCCCCAAGAGGGCAGCACCATGAGAGGGGGGTTCTTCTGTGAAGGGGACGATGGAGAGAGGGTGGTCCCTGAGGTCTGGACATGTCTGACCCTCCTGAGCGGGGCACATTTCCCATCAGTAGAGTGAACGCACCTGCCCACACCCATCGGTCCCCACATGCCCAGGCCCCCGCAGACCGTGGGATGCCAGGCCTCCCGGGAAGGAGGCCGGGGCCGGCCCCGGGCTCACCTTCAGGTAGGAGCCGTAGTAGCGTGTGATGTAAGGGCTGTCGCACTGGCTCAGGACGGTGATCTCCTGCTGGATGTCCTCGATCTCGTCCTCAGCCTCCTCCAGGTCGATGATCTTGATGGCCACCACCTCTTTGGTGCGGTTGTCGATGCCCTTGTACACCTCCCCAAAGGAGCCCTTCCCGATCCTCTCGAGCTTGGTGAAGAGTTCCTCGGGGTCCACACGCGAGTGCTACGAAGAGAGCAGGCACGCGCCGAGGAAGAGCCAGCCGGGACCCCGCCCCCAGCCCAGCTGGGTCCTGGGCAGCCCCCTGCGAGGGAGGCCCCACCCCGGGCTTCCTATTCCACAGCCGAGAACAGCCCAACAGGGAGGGGAGACGCTACATCTGCAGCCTTAAGAAAGGGGAAATGACAGCCATCCTGTGTTCCTCACAACCTGCGGAGGTAGGTGCTAGAATCATCCCCATCTTACAGATGAGGAAACTGAGGCAAGCAACAGGGAAGGAACTCGTCCAGTCACACAGCTAGTCCCACAGCTAGTCCCGCCTGAGGCTGGATTTGAACTCAGATTTTCCAGAGCTTTCCTCACAGAGCCACCCTGCCCCCACAATCTCAGCACCGTGTACATTACTCTGCCCTCCTGGCCATTCACCTGCCATGTCTACTCTCGCCCCTTCTCACACTGGATTTATGGCTTCTGCTCTTTGTAACCTCCAGATCAGGCACCCTGCCAACACCAGCCGAGCAGAAGGGCACCCACCCTACAGGAACGAGCCACAGTGGGCTGCAGAGAGAGGGCGACTTCGAATCAGGAGGGCCCCCTCCCCTCTGCGCCTCGGTGTTTTCGACTGTCAAATGCAGAGGCTGGATTCTCTGCCCTCTGCTCTGTCCAGGGGGAGAGGGAGCGCAGGTAAAGCGATAAGGCTGGGCAATAGGCTGGGGTGAGAGTTCAGACCTCACGAGGTAGCAAGGGAGAGCCACTGAAGGTCTGGGGTTACGGACAGCCGGCTGAGCAGATTCTGGTCAAAGCCCCACCGATTCCCCATTGAGGCACAGAAGGGCCGCCAGCAGCGTCTCTGGCCACGCTGTCGCGCTCCCTGGCCACATTCACAGAAGAACAGTGTGTCCTCCTCAGCTGAGGAAGGGGGCCTCTTCCTGCCAACGCTGCCGCTACCAGACGGCTGTCCCCTCGCCAGTAGTGATGGGCTGAGGTCTGCCGGACTCTCCCTCCATCACACGGGGCAAGCAGAGGCCTGGGCCTTCGGGGCCTGCCAGGCAGTGAAGGAGCTGACCTCTCAGGCAAAAAGCCAAACTGCTAGTGAGAGGGGGCTCCCCAAAACCTCAGGGGCTCCTGCTCTTCCTCTTGGGGCAGAACTGGGAGCTGGGGTGGGAGGGAAGGCAGCCTGAGCATTGCTGGGCTCCCACGTGGCCTGCAGAGAACGGGAGGCTCAGCACAAAGAAGGAGAGGCCCCCAAGGGCGTGTACCCCATGTGCTCGAGGCGCCGGGGAGCTGCCATGAAAGAGGACTAAAGAGGACTCGTCTTCTTCCCGACAGACCCTCTGTCGTCAGCCTCCTCGGCTCTCACTGGCTTTAACCTCAGACCCCTGAGGCCGTGCACTTCTGGAGAAGCCCCAACAGCCGCCTCAGGTTATCACTGCCCCTTGTGCCAAGAGCTGTGGTTGGGGCGTCATTAAGGGGCCTTGAACCACACCAGACTGAGCAGCTCTTCGGGGCCACCCCAAGGGCACCCACTCAGCCCCTCTCCAGGGAGGTCAGGTGTCATGATCAGACTCCGAGAGGCCATCAGCCTCGGCGGGGACTCCACATCACCCCCCTCCCTGGCAAAGGCCAAAGAGGACTGTGCTTTGCAGTCCTGAGGAGGCAACAGGGCCAGGGAGACAAAGGGAACAACGAGAACCAGTCAGTGTGGGGAGAACAGGGAGACAGAGAGGCGACCGGCCCAGAGCAGGACGGTGCAGGTCTCAGTGACGGGGTCACAGATGAGGGAACGAGGGGTGTAGAAAAATGGGACTGAGATCCAAAAGGAACTGCAGGTGCTGAAAAGAGAGTCCTGAGAGGAAAATAATAGCTGTCACTGAGGCAGCGTTCATTTTGTGCCAGGCACTGGGCCAAGCATTCTGCGATTACCTCATCTGATCCTCGCAACCCTGGAAGTAGGTGTTATTATAAGTCCTGTTTTAGAGATGAATAAACTGAGGCAAGCAGGGTTTAAGTGACTTGCCCAGGGCCACTTGGATTTGAACTCAGGTCTTCCTGACTTCAGGCCCAGTGTACTATAGCACCGCCAGGCCAAGCTTTTCAGATGCAGTTCCCATGTGGGGCCCGTATCGTACAAACCACCTCAGAGATCCGCTGTTAACGTTGACCCCAGACTTCAGAGGCGGTCACTTCTGCAGGCAGTCTTCAAATCCCAGAGCCTTGGGGGTGAATGCACAGGCATGGAACCAAGCCCTCTTTTCTAAAGGCAGAGTAGGGCCTAGGAGGCAGGAGGCTAAAGGACTCCCCATCCGTCTTAAGCTAAATCGGCGTTCCCGCCAGGCCACAAGACCTCAGAGAACTCAGCACTTGTGCTTAGCTACTTCATGGCCGAGGGAGAGAATTAAGCCAGGTGGACGGTCTGCAGTGCCCAGACGGCAGCTGCTGCCCCGGAGAAAACAGGGCGGCCCCGGTCCAGAGGGCAAGTAGGCACACAGTGTGACAAATGCTTGGAAGGGCGCAACCCCGAATGAGCAGATATCGACCCAGATCAGCCAAGTATCCGCTCAGACAGTAAGCTGTGCATGCCCTCAGCCTCAGCAAAACTGCTCCAGGGGCTGGACCCCAGCGAGATCAAAGGAGGAGGAAAAGCGCCACCACTAGCAGTTCTTTTCGTGGTGGCAAAGAGCTGGGGAATGGCCAAGTTGGAGACCATGATGGTGGAGGAGGTTAGCCTCCCTTCCTTCTTAACACGGCTCACATTAGAATTAGTTCTGCGTGACCAAAAATATTTGCAGTGGCCTTTGTTTTTCTTGCCTTCTTAATGAGTGGATGGGGGAAGGGGAGAATTTGGAACTGAAAATAAAATCAAACTGCAGACTGAAAAATAAATCAAGCACTGGTTCAGCACCCACAGGCTCAGCGCCCAGCTCAGGGCAGAGCGGGCAGAGCAGGAGACTCGGTCACAGCCTCGGAGGACTTGTACTCTAGGATCGAGAGAACAGATAATGGCACGTCCAATTCAATGCCCCAGGTTACAGGTGCTTGGCAGTGCGGATCCATAGTCCGGAAAAACAACCAAAGGCCTACGAATGAACTCTGCAGAACGGAGAAGACTGAGCCAAGGTGCAAGTGGAAAGGCTCCCAAGTTTGTTTTGGCCAAATCAGGCAGCCTCTGGCCAATCCAGAAGCCGTGATCCTTGCTTAAAAGCCCTGCGCTTGAGGGGGCTAAAGGAACAAGTCGCCCACACAGGCCTGGGGTCAGCAAGGTTAGCGGTTGTGAGGATGGCCACAGGACACCAGAAGCCACGGCCACTGTCCTGTTCGGGAGGTGCCTGGGGCCATACTGCTGATTACGGCAGGAGCTGGACCGCACATCTGCACCCCTGCGGCCTGGCTACAATGGAGGAGAGGACTTTACGGAGGGCATAGTCAGAGGTGGAGTCTTTCCTGCCAGATTCGTTAAATTCCTTGCTGGATATCACTGTAGGACTACCCGTCCGCCCCACTGAGGACCCTTTGGGCTTCCTTGCCCTTCTAAAAGGCCTGTGATCGTTAACTGTGGGGGCGTGGGGAGTGGGCTATGCCCCAGGCTCCAAGCTCTACTGGGAAACACTTAAGGGATATAAGGGATACTGCACGTCTTCATTAAGAGTATCAATTGCATTGTGATTCTGTCTGGAACAGTGGACAGCATGTGGAAGGACTTGGGGGTGGGAGGATGAGCTTTCTGAGGTGCCCACACCTGGCAGCTGTTCAGCAGCTCTTAGGGGCACAGCCCTCCCCAAGGCAGTGCTGGGCCCACTGCTGATCCCTCAACCCTGAGCAGCAATCCCTAGAAACTGAAAGGACAGGCTTGGGTGGGGAGCACTTCCCTCTGCCAGAGCTGATCACTGACCCTAACACTCTTCACAGCTGGACCCCCATTCACACACGGAGGAGGGGAGAGGTTCCACAGTGTGCCACTGCTCTGCAGGGGAATCCAAGATTCTGAGGTCAGCACTGCCCCTCACGCCTCACCTGCAACCATAGCCAGTAGCATCACCAGGCCAGGCCCAGGGGACCGATGCCTGTCTTTTTACTTCAGCAACACACAATGACCACACAGCCTCTCTCAACCACCCTGTACCTACAGGGTACCATCATTCCACATTTTTCTTTTTTTTCCTTCTCTTAAAAGGACTCAGTAACTCTTTCTAAATTAATTTTTTTTTCTTTTTGCTGAGGCAATCGGGGTTAAGTGACTTGCTCAGGGTCACACAGCTAGTAGCATCAAGTGTCTGAGGCCACATTTGAACTCAGGTCCTCCTGACTCCAAGGCCGGAGCTCTATTTACTGCACCACCTCGCTGCCCCCTAAATTAAGTTTTAAAAAAAAATATGTTTAACTAAAAAAAGTGTCCTCTGATTGACAATAAAAATGCATTTCTACTTATCTTTCCAACAGTCACCTCCACCAACCTTCTTCGGTATCACCAGTGTGCATACAGTCCTTACCTTTCCCTGCTCAGTCTCATGTGAGAGGGGGTAAGTCACTCTCCTTTCGCCATCACCTAAACCAGTACCATCTTTATATGATCAGCCTTGTTCAGACAAAGCACAAACATGTTTGAGGCACTTGTCTGAGTGGGGTCAAAAGCAAAGGAGAGTCTGCACCCCACCTCAGCAGAGGGGTTTTAAAGGGCCCAGGCACCAGCAGATGGCCCCTTCCCAGCTTCTGTTCGGCTCTCCTTTTCTGTAGCAGAAATGATCACACAACCCACTTGAACCACACACGCTGAGAGAAAAAGCACAAGGGGACGGCCAAGGATAAGCTTAATTTCCCCAAATGTCAAGGTACTGTCCCTGTTCTGAGATGCCAGAAGAGGGAAGGAGGCTGGGAGAACCAGGATGGCGGGGTGGGCTGGCCAACTTCTGACAGCATCCCAGTATTGAGAACCCAAGGCTTAGCCAGACCTGACACGCTACAGGACAGGGGTGTCCCTGCTTCTGACAGTCAGTGACACCGGCCTCCGCGGCACCAGGCCCACCCCAAACACGGCTTCGACTTGGGCCGGGGTCCTCTGGACACCGACCTGTGAGCCCACAGTTCCCACCCCAAGTTTCATTCTTCCCACAATGCAGCACTCATTCCTCGTACAAGACTGCAACCTAGCCCAAGTCAGACAAAAGAAGAAAGTCACATCCCAAGCGCCCTTGACAAACATCACTGGCAGCCCAATTTTCGAAAATTTCCTGCCTACTTCAAAGCTCTTTGTTCACGGATGCGGATTTCTCATCCCACAGAAATGTCAGCTACTGACAAGGTAAATTCTGGGGGGGGGAGAGAGAAGGGAAGGGGGTCAAATGCCAAGTCTGAAATCGTGCATTTTAGATGCGCTTCCATCTGTCCAGAGATGTTTTTAAAACCCACGTCTAAGGAGTCTTAAAAAACCCGAGTGTTTCTTCCTGACCTGGAGGACTTCTCGAGCTGGGCGTGGACGCCTATGGATTCTACCAAGGGCGGCTGTTTTTTCAATCCGGTTCCAGCCCCAAACCCCTTACCTGGTTAGCAAACTCCCTCAGGTGAGCCATGTCTCCCAGCCGACTGATCGCGGGCCTGGGTGCGAGCCCCTGAATTCTGTCTTCAAGGCACCAGAAATGGGCTTTTCACCTGGAGCGGACTGAGGCAGGAAGAGACGGGGCTTCTGGGCTCCAGGAGCGCAGGGGATGGGGGGACAGAGGGGGGGAGGGAGCCACGCACAGCCCCCCAGAGAACCAGGTACGGGGGACCTGGCTCATTTGCCACGGAAGGCGGCCCCCCTCCACAGGGCTCCAAGCTTGGGGGCCCCCCTTTAGGGCCTGCTGCACCCCAAGATCGGAACCAGCTGCCACAGACACAACCGGACCCCCCCCCCCCCCCCGGGCGGGTGGAAAGGGGACCCTGGCCCCCCCCCCCCCCCCCAAAACCCCCCGCCCCCCCCGGGGCGCCCCCCCCCCCCCCCCCCCCCGGCTCAGCGATAGGGGGAGGGGCCCTCGTCCTCTCCTGGGCTGTGTCCCCCTCCCCTCCCTGACTGGGTTGGACCCCCTGGGGGGCGTCGCCCCCCCCTCCCCCCCCCCCCCCACCCGGTCCCCCTCCCCCTCTGGCCCCGCCCTTCTCCCCTCCCCCCTCCCCGTACCTGGACGTAGCGCCCCCGGGGGGCTCCCAGGCCTCAGCGCGCTCCGCCTCCGAGGGTCTCCATGACGGTCCTCTTCCTCGGCCCTCAGCGCCTGACAGGGACGGGGGCAGCGCGGCCCCGACTCGAGCCCGGGCTCCGGCTCCGGCTCCGGCTCCGGCTCCCGCGGCAGTTGGAGCTAGAAAAAGCCAGGGCGGCGGAGGAGCGAGGAGGGGGTGGGGTGCTGGGACGGGAGCGCCACTGCGCAGTCGCGTGAGTCCCACTGCCTTCTGGGAGTTGTAGTCCCGCTTCCCGAAGTCCCGCTCCTCGTGCGCATGCGGACTCCCTCTCCCGGACGACCCTGGGGAAATGGGCGGGGCCTGGGGCAGGGTCTCAGGCGGCGGCGGCGTCAGAGGCTTGCTAGGCTTTGGCGCTTTCTGGAGTAGCCCGAGATGGGGGAGAGGACTCCAAGTCCCAGGAGGCTTAGCGCGGAGGAAGGCCCCCCCCGTGGGGGTGGGGGGGAGAAGAGAGGGACCGTGGAGCGTGAGCAGTGCTAGCCTTCCAGGGCTCGTGCGGGGACCCAGACTGATGTCCCGTGAGGGGAGCAGTGAGAGGGAAGGCCCCCGCACCCCGCGCAGTGTTCCTCGACCTCTGTCCTCCCCCCTTCCTTCCATCACCCCTCCCCTATCCCCTTCCCCCTTCCTCCATCCCCCTGGCATGTTCCTCTGCCCCCCATCCTCCCTCCCCCTTCTTCCATCCCCCTGGC